AGTAAAGGCAGGCATATGGCAATTCTGTAACCAATGGTAACACCACATGAATGTCATAACTACCTGTTCATATCAATCTCAATTGGATTTACAGAGTCATTGTTGACATGTGGTACATCGTATGAGTGTCACTGGCTGAAGGTTCATGTGCCCATTTCTGTTGACTGGCTCCATGAGATCATGTGCCCATTTCTGTTGACTGGCTCCATGAGATCATGTGCCCATTTCTGTTGACTGGCTCCATGAGATCATGTGCCCATTTCTGTTGCCTGGCTCCATGAGATCATGTGCCCATTTCTGTTGACTGGCTCCACGAGATCATGTGCCCATTTCTGTTGACTGGCTCCATGAGATCATGTGCCCATTTCTGTTGACTGGCTCCATGAGATCATGTGCCCATTTCTGTTGACTGGCTCAGTGAGATCATGTGCCCATTTCTGTTGACTGGCTCCATGAGATCATACTGCCAGGCCTTATGACTGGGACCAGAGCATCTGTCCGAAGACAGAAGATTTGATACCCATCTGCGTCGTACCAAATGACATTAAAGATGGTACTTGTTGTTGATGGTACCCTGTCTGACGCCCAGCAATAAGGGTTAAAAACAAGCACTCGTCAGCTTGGAGTCAGTTTAGTGTGTCTGAGTGGGTATCCATGTTAGACTGGACTAGTACAAGCAGCCACATACACATGTATGCACGTCTCTATGTATTCATTTCACCACACCTCGCCAAGTGACTGGCTTGGGTAGATCATGTGCCCACATTATTGCCAGACTATGTAAGATGATGTGCGAAGTAGTGTGCAAAGTATCTGACATGGACTTGCGAACATCTGGGGTAGAATAGGTCTTCGGCAACCCATGCTTTCTGTGGGGCGGTTGGGTAGCCTAGTGGTTAAAGCGTTCGCTCGTCACGCCGAAGACCCGGGTTCGATTCCCGACATGGGTACAATGTGTGAAGCCCATTTCTGGTGTCCCCCGCCGTGATATTGCTGGAATATTGCTAAAAGCGGCGTAAAACCATACTCACTCACTCACTCACCATGCTTTCTGTAAAAAGTGACTATGCCTGTCGTAAGAGGTGACTAACGGGATCGGGTGGTCAGGCTCACTGGTTTGGTTGATGCATGTCATCATATCATCATTGCGTAGATCGATGCTCATGATGTCAATCGCTGGATTGTCTGGTCCAGACTTGATTATTTAGACCCCCACCATATATTGCTGAGTGTGACATTAAACAAAAAAACAAAATGACAACTAAAAACGATTGGCATGATCCGATCATGTGATCAACAACATGTTTAAGGTAAACACAGCCTGATGGGACACTTGTGCAACATCCACTGTTCAGTGAGCCAACTGGACCAATATTATTGCCATTTCGCTACTCCTTTGTTGTCGTGGTTTCCTGGATTACCGTTGGGGATATCTTGTAAACAGCGGGGAACACACAATTTGGAAAGTGCCTATCTCTGAAAAACATTCACCTAGAGTTTAGTCTAACAGTGTAATGCCTAGCTAATCCGTCGTTTCATGTGCTTGTCTCCGAGTGTTTGAACCCTGCTAACCTTTAATTTGGTGCATAGTTATCATGATTTGTAGGGAACAGTCGTGTGAAATGGATAGCTCAGTTAGATTTCCGATGCTGGTGGTATATCCTGTCAGTTAATAAGCTAGGTGACCAGTAATTATGCTGGATCAAACAGGAGTAGGAAGGGAACCTTGTCTCACGCCACACTTGCAGTTTACAGCTACAGGAAGGATTAGTAATTGTCATTATTGGTGGTATGTTGAAAATGAGTGCAGGTTACGGAATACAACTTTGTGACAGGGAAATAAATATGATATTGTGGTTATATCTGAAGGGTTAGGTGTATAACATGTATAAGTTCATTGAAATGCATGAACAAGTGATTCAGTTTCTTTTACAAGAAGGTTTTTTTCATTAATCCATTTTGTGAACAAGGACAAGATAAAAAGGTATTGAAATGTTGAATGACAAAAATATGAGGAACTGTTTATTATCTAGGTTATCTAGTCCTGACCAATCAATTCATTAACCTTGTGAACTGATCTCAGAAAAGATTATTCCAAAATTTGTCATGAATACCCTACTCAGACACCGTATACTGACTCCTAGCTGACCAGTCCTTGTTTTTGTCCCTTAATCCCGAGCACCAGACAGGGTAACAACAAGTACCATATTTTAACGTCTTTTGGTATGACGCGGCCAGGGATAGAACCCCCAACCTTCCCCTCTCCCGGCGGACACTCTACTACTAGACCACGGAGGTGGTCAAATGTGCGTTGAAACCTTAGACTTTTACCCCATTTGTCTGGAGATTGAATCTCTAGATCAAGGCTGATACAAAGCCAAGGAAATTCAACATGGAGATGTTCACTGAATATTTCATTTTGGTTGGAAAAGTGGCTGACAGGTGTGTTTTCAGAAACATGTGACTCAACAGGAAGTTACATGTATACCCATTATTTAAGTTTATTTTTGTTTCAATCTGCTGCATGTACAATAGGCGCAAAACAATCTACTGTTGTAGTGTGGTTCAAAGAAAACAGACAATATCCCAGGAAACATCCTCACAAGAGCAATGATTCATTCATATCAATACAAAGCTCCCAGATAAACTGGGAGCTATTTTATTCATGAGCCTACAATGTTCGTCTATTTGTGTCATGGATTAATGTTGGTGTTCCCATATCCTGTGCACTATCAGGTGTGAAACGCGGCTGATCCCAAGGACTGGGAATCTCAATGCAACAGATGTATATGGTCCCAGTGCTGACATTTTACTGGTATTGTTGTGAAGCTCTGCCCATCACTACACTATAGTCTGTTTTAATCACCAACAACCGGAGGCGTTCCACCCCTTGAAATATGAACACATGTATTATTCATTCAACATTTCAGAAGGACATATAAATCTTGTGTATTAAATCCTCCTTGAACTGAGTTATTGCATTTCAAGCGCTTTGCTCCTTATCTGTCAAGAGGTTACAATTCAAATGTGTAACAGTCAGAGGGCGATACCATAATTTGATAGTGAGTGATCGTAGTCAGTCTCTCTATGAATCATATTATCCGGGTAATAAAGACTCGTACCACATAGCTTGAAAAGGTCGAAATGAAATTCTGTTGCAGGATGTTTACTATTTACACACTAACGCGTACATGTATTTATTTTTTATAGAAAAGGCTGTGTTCTCTTTATTAGGTGTTTGTAGTGGCCAGAGGCTACATACAATATCTTTGATCAGTTATATTAAAACAAAAATGTACCTTTGTTTGATTTTTGGGCTATTCTGTTATTTTTGTAATCCATCTAAGCCCACCCCGTGGATAAGCCGAGGTTTTAACTTGACCCTTGAAATATGAAAGAACATGACATGACCACAGATAAGCCCACCCTGTAGATAAGCCAAGGTTTTAACTTGACCCTTGAAATATGGAAGAACATGATATGACCGCAGATAAGCCCACCCCGTAGATAAGCCAAGGTTTTAACTTGACCCTTGAAATATGAAAGAACATGATATGACCGCAGATAAGCCCACCCCGTAGATAAGCCAAGGTTTTAACTTGACCCTTGAAATATGAAAGAACATGATATGACCGCAGATAAGTCTACAACGTTGATAAGCCGAGGCATTAACTTGACCCTTGAAATATGAAAGAACATGACATGACTGCAGATAAGCCCACCCCGTAGATAGGCCAAGGTTTTAACTTGACCCTTGAAATATGAAAGAACATGATATGATCGCAGATAAGTCTACAACGTTGATAAGCCGTGGCATTAACTTGACCCTTGAAATATGAAAGAACATGACATGACTGCAGATAAGCCCACCCTGTAGATAAGCCGAGGTATTAACTTGACCCTTGAGATTTGAAAGAACATGATATGACCCTCATTGAAACTTATCTCTTTAAAATCTCTCGAAAACAAAGGAATTAAACCCCTACTCCCAACACAACTAAGCACCCACAACTTGAAAGTGGTTGTGTAAACAAACAAAACAATACCAATTGTCCCCGTTATTATCAGTGCTCATTTCCTTGTGTACTGCGTTGCTTTTCAAACAACAGGAAGCAATCACAGTGTTCACTGTTTGTGATGTCACAGGTAACAGCACATTTTTTTGCAAATGGCGAACAGAATAACTCGCCGTTTCAGTTGTTTAATTTCCTCTTTTATGAGGTAGATACTTGTAACCATCATATCAATTTATTAACTTTGCAAAATGTACGTAATAGCTATTGGCGATTTCATCTGTGGATTATATATTATATCTGTGGATTATGTTGTTATATGTAAAGATCGTGGAGTTTATGAAGAACAATAAACCTTGAACATTTGAAAACCTATGATTGGAAATAGTAACGTGCATAAAATTATTTAATAAAGACAACATTGGTGTATAATTATAACTTAATTGATCATTTATAACAATAATGGCTGTAGTTGTGGCAACTACCAAACTTTCAAGAAAATTGTAATCTATCGGACCGTCATTCAGGCGATGTTTCTGACAGATCACGATCTGAAAAATACTATCATGAAAGTGTATCCCGTGGATAAGCCAACCCCTTTCTACAAAATGTTTTTTCTGGTCCTCAAAATTCGGCTTATCTGCGGACATATACTATACGGTGTATAGTCTATATTATGATACTTAGCAGCTATACTTCAGGAAATGGTCTGCCGCATGGTGACTCATACACCAGTCAAGAGCAAATCTAAAGATGCGGCCATTTCTGTAAATCCTACAAAATTAACAACATTGCAAATATTGTTGCATGTGTAAAATGACCTTTGATCTTGACATTGCAAATATTTAAAATAACAGTTATGGTCTTTAACTAGGCTTTTATGCCTCTCATCCACTTTGTGTACCAAAAACCACCGGCTATTCTTTATTTCCTTCTATTTGTTTATAGTTCAGTGGTGTTGAACCTCACATTGTGTTCTTTTTCCAGTGTTTCAAATGGATGAGGAAGAACCTTCTGCTGGTGCTGACTGTCATTGCAGTGTTCTTCGGAGTGTTGGTGGGGTTCCTGTCTAGATTGAGCGCGCCGTCTGCCAACACCATCATGCTCATCTCCTTCCCAGGAGACCTGCTGATGAGGATGTTGAAGTGCCTCATCTTGCCACTCATTGTGTCATCCATGATTACAGGTTTGTCTTATTGGATTCATTGTTGTTGGGGATTTCATAAAACCGTGACTCCGGGTAAGAATATAGGTCCCAGATACTTATGTATGCTTGTAATATGCAACTGAATGGATCAGGTGGTCAGGCTGGGTGGGTGGGTTCATTGCATGTCTTCGTATCCCAGTTGCATGGATTGGTGCTCATGATGTCAATCACTGAATAGTTGACATATTAGCTGACCACAAATACTCAGCCCAACTGTGTGGACATTTCTAAATACTCAGCCCAACTGTGTGGACATTTCTAAATACTCAACCAATAGTGGAGGCTTCTAAATACTCAGCCCAACTGTGTGGACATTTCTAAATACTCAGCCTAACTGTGTGGACATTTCTAAATATTCAGCCCAACTGTGTGGACATTTCTAAATACTCAACCAATAGTGGAGGCTTCTAAATACTCAGCCCAACTGTGTGGACATTTCTAAATACTCAACCAATAGTGGAGGCTTCTAAATACTCAGCCCAACTGTGTGGACATTTCTAAATACTCAACCAATAGTGGAGGCTTCTAAATACTCAGCCCAACTGTGTGGACATTTCTAAATACTCAACCATTATTGGAGGCTTCTAAATACTCAGCCCAACTGTGTAGACATTTCTAAATACTCAACCAATAGTGGAGGCTTCTAAATACTCAGCCCAACTGTGTGGACATTTCTAAATACTCAACCAATAGTGGAAGCTTCTAAATACTCAGCCCAACTGTGTGGACATTTCTAAATACTCAGACCAACTGTGTGGACATTTCTAAATACTCAGCCCAACTGTGTGGACATTTCTAAATACTCAACCAATATTGGAGGCTTCTAAATACTCAGCCCAACTGTGTGGACATTTCTAAATACTCAACCAATAGTGGAGGCTTCTAAATACTCAGCCCAACTGTGTGGACATTTCTCAATACTCAACCAATAGTGGAGGTTTCTAAATACTCAGCCCAACTGTGTGGACATTTCTAAATACTCAGCCCAACTGTGTGGACATTTCTAAATACTCAGCCCAACTGTGTGGACATTTCTAAATACTCAACCAATAGTGGAGGCTTCTAGATACTCAGCCCAACTGTGCGGACATTTCTAAATACTCAATCCAACTGTGTGGACATTTCTAAATACTCAACCCAACTGTGTGGACATTTCTAAATACTCAACCAATGGTGGAGGCTTCTAAATACACAACCAAACTGTGTGGACATTTCTAAAAACTCAACCAATAGTGGAGGCTTCTAAATACTCAGCCCAACTGTGTGGACATTTCTAAATACTCAACCAATAGTGGAGGCTTCTAAATACTCAGCCCAACTGTGTGGACATTTCTAAAAACTCAACCAATAGTGGAGGCTTCTAAATACTCAGCCCAACTGTGTGGACATTTCTAAATACTCAACCAATATTGGAGGCTTCTAAATACTCAGCCCAACTGTGTGGACATTTCTAAATACTCAACCAATAGTGGAGGCTTCTAAATACTCAGCCCAAACGGTGGACATTTCTAAATACTCAACCAATAGTGGAGGCTTCTAAATACTCAACCAAACTGTGTGGACATTTCTAAATACTCAACCCAACTGTGTGGACATTTCTAAATACTCAACCAATAGTGGAGGCTTCTAAATACTCAACCAAACTGTGTGGACATTTCTAAAAATTCAGGCATTAGTGAAGGCTTCTCACTCACTCATTCAACCATGCATGCAAGCACTCACTCAACCACACATGCACGCACTCACTCACTCAACCACACATGCATGCCCCTCACTCACTCAACGACAAATGCAGGCACTCACTCACTCAACCATTCATGCTGGCACTCACTCACTCAACCACACATGCAGGCACTCACTCACTCACTCACTCACTCAACCACACATGCAGGCACTCACTCACTCAACCACACATGCAGGCACTCACTCACTCAACTATTCATGCTGGCACTAACTCACTCAACCACACATGCATGCACTCACTCACTCAATCACACATGCAGGCACTCACTCACTCAACCACACATGCAGGCACTCACTCACTCAACCATGCATGCTGGCACTCACTCACTCAACCACACATGCAGGCACTCACTCACTCACTCAACCACACATGCATGCACTCACTCACTCAACCATGCACTCACTCACTCACTCAACCACATATGCAGGCACTCACTCACTCACTCAACCACACATGCAGGCACTCACTCACTCAACCACACATGCAGGCACTCACTCACTCAACCACACATGCAGGCACTCACTCACTCAACCACACATGCAGGCACTCACTCAACAACACATGCAGGCACTCAACCACACATGCAGGCACTCACTCACTCACTCAACCACACATGCAGGCACTCACTCACTCACTCAACCACACATGCAGGCACTCACTCACTCAACCACACATGCAGGCACTCACTCACTCACTCTCTCACTCCAGAAAATAGGATAATGCTCTTAACATATGAAAACAGTGAAAACTCGCCTTTTCAGGTCTTGCTTCTCTGGATGCTAAATCTAGCGGTCGTATGGGTCTCCGAGCCATTGTGTACTACTTCACCACGACGTTCGTAGCCATCGTCATTGGAATCATACTGGTCGTGTCCATCCACCCCGGCAAGTTCACTGGTGAAGGCAAGGCGTACGTGCAGTCTGCTGATGAAAAGCCACCATCATCCACCGATGCCTTTCTGGACCTCATTAGGTAAAACTCCATATTTATCATATGTAGAAAACACTTCCATGATTGCTCAACATATCATTAGTGACTGTTGTTGGTACTCAAGGAGAGGACGTGCCATTATCTAGCAGAGCATGTTCAACTTCAGTGATTTTGTCTGTCAGAAATATGAATCCTTTTACGTTAAAGATTTGCTTTAAGTCAGGATTTAGACATTGGAAAGCAATTGGTATATATATATGTTACAGGAAACAAGTAAAATCAGTGATTAAGTCTAATGACTGAAAATGTCAGTGATTATGTCTAATAACTGATTCACTCAAATCTTCAGTAATTAGACATAATCACTGAAATCAACCAAGGGATTTTATACTTGTTTACTGAAAGTATATTCCTGCCTTGTTTTTATAATGTGTGCTAGTTTTGAAATTAGATTAGTGTAAGTAAATACAACCTCCTGTAACCAGATACCTTACACAAAAATCACAGAAATAAGCTTAAACAGTTCAATCTTTTATTTCATAAAATGGTATGACGTGAATGGTATGACATGAATGGTATGACAAATAGCAGTCAGATGGACACTCAGGAATGTTTGTTTGCACATGAAAGACTTGAATCACATCTAGAATTACATTGCATCTTGGCCTTAAAACATTTGTAGCGATTGGTCTGACACCGTTTAGTTCCAACACAATTACACCTTACAAAGCCTTGACCACCACAGACTGAGTCAAGTTGAACCGCTTGACGCAAAGAGAGTGTTCGATCAGTATTGAAATCGTCAGTATTATAAAGTTTGGTGACACATACATCAAACTGGTTACGGGAATATTTCCCATTTAGCACACCACCCTTGACTGCAATTGTGAACATGTCATTGTCACTACACTCAATAACTACACCAATTATGTTAGGTGGATCACCTCTTCCTCTGTCGACATGGGGGATAGGAACTCGTTAAATCTCCCAACTATTGGTTGATACCTCACACTTTGACTCATGGAGCCTCACGATACCTTCAGAGATGCACTGTACAAGATGTATGAGGAAAACAGGCGTGTATAAGTGGATCATGGTTTACCAAGATCATCTTACCAAGTTTGTTGTGTTGCGTCCCAGGAAGATCAAATAGCAGCACAACTTAACAGCATCACGCAGAACAGAAAAAGAGCCAGAGAAGCACAAGAACAAGCCCAGCGCATGGTAAAACGCAGCAAACGTGTTTTTGGGCCTGTAAGTGTTGGAGACAATGTAACTGTTCCTATCCCCCATGTCGACAGAGGAAGAGGTGATCCACGTAACATAAATGGTGTAGTTATTGAGTGTAGTGACAATGACATGTTCACAATTGCAGTCAAGGGTGGTGTGCTAAATGGGAAATATTCCCGTAACCAGTTTGATGTATGTGTCACCAAACTTTATAATGCTGACGATTTCAATACTGATCGAATGCTCTCTTTGCGTCAAGCGGTTCAACTTGACTCAGTCTGTGGTGGTCAAGGCTTTGTAAGGTGTAATTGTGTTGGAACTAAACGGTGTCAGACCAATCGCTACAAATGTTTTAAGGCCAAGATGCAATGTAATTCTAGATGTGATTCAAGTCTTTCATGTGCAAACAAACATTCCTGAGTGTCCATCTGACTGCTATTTGTCATACCATTCATGTCATACCATTCACGTCATACCATTTTATGAAATAAAAGATTGAACTGTTTAAGCTTATTTCTGTGATTTTTGTGTAAGGTATCTGGTTACAGGAGGTTGTATTTACTTACACTAATCTAATTTCAAAACTAGCACACATTATAAAAACAAGGCAGGAATATACTTTCAGTAAACAAGTATAAAATCCCTTGGTTGATTTCAGTGATTATGTCTAATTACTGAAGATTTCAGTAATTAGACATAACCACCGCGTGAATCAGTTATTAGACATAATCACTGATTTTACTTGTTTCCTGTAACATACATACCGTATTCGGAATCAACCGTTTGCCTGCAAGATGGGTAATAGATATTTCACATTGGAAATTTCAAATCAATGACCAAAAATATTGAGGAACTGTTATGATTCTCTCAGTTTCTCTTCAGAATGTAATTGGTCATGCAGTGGGTCCTTTGCATGGCCATGCTTGACACCTGTTGAACTGTCTCCCTACATGTCAGATCAGAACTGATTACTTTCAGCGAACTTTTTGAAAATATTATGAAGGAAATGATCACTGAACCTTGATGATGCCAAAACATGTGTCAAAACAATTATCTGTTATACTGGTATATATGTTAATGACATTGAAGCTGTCAAGTGGCTCACCTGCCTGAACTGTTCATGTGATGGGGGTTATAGCCTTGAAGAAGTGTTTGGCCTCTAATATAGTGAGTGAGTGGGTATGGTTTTATGCCGTTTTTAGCAATATTCCACCGATATCACGGCAGGGGACACCAGAAATGGACTTCACACATTGTACCCAAGTCGGGAATCAAACCCAGTCTTCGGGCGAGGAGCGAATGCTGTAACCACTAGGCTACCCGACCACCCCCCTCTATTGAGTTATTATGTCTCATGTATGATAAATACTATGGCCCAGTGGCTGCCATGGCTTCTTTAGGGAAGCAGTTTCACCCAACAGCTCCATTTCTCTATAGCTGATGTAGTCGTCATGACAACCACAAAGTCGTGATGATGCTCTATTGGTAATTGAATCTAAAGACTTGCAACGAAACATGTGTTCCCCAACTCACTTAAGTACAGAATGGCAATAACATGTACACGGCATATTTCCAGAGTACAGGCAAAACAGTTTTATTGGCAGATTATGTTTAATGACAAACCAGATCTGAAACGAATGAAATGGACCCAGGGTATTTATTATATTAGAATCGAGATATAATACACTGAAACACCATAGATAAATACTGTTTTAAAGATAATATTCCTGACTTAGAATGATCTTGCCTTGGTCAGTTTCCTACATATATACAGTGAATGGTTATTGTCTGTAAACAAACCACAAATCTAATCTCACAAAACTGTTATACAGGGACTTATTTTCAGCCACATGTTCACAGTAGATGATGATACATATTTCCAAATTGGAATTTCCCAAATCAAGTTTCCTTACTATTTATTGTTATTAAACTTTGCATTGGTCATTTGCATTCACTGAAAACAGAATAAAGAGAAAGGTGCATTAATGATTAGTTATACATATATGTAGTCAAATTTAAGAAAAATAGAACTTTACAAATATTCACAACTTTGGACAAAAGGATGTTTTTTCCTAATTTGCCTGCCACAATCCTATACAGATTCTTGTGTACTATAAACTGCCTTTTACTACATCCAAGAATTGTGCCCCACTGAAGATCCAGGTTAGAATGGGTTGTTACGACGTAAATTGTAATAAAAAGGTAAATTGTAATACTTGCAGCAAATAGTAATAATTTTGACGTAAATTGTAATAACAACGTAAATTGTAATAATATTTGACGTAAATTGTAATACGCAAACTGTAATAAAAATTGACGTAAATTGTAATAATCTCTACTTGCGGTAAAATGTAATAAATTCTTACGTAAATTGTAATAACCTTACTACCGTAGTGTCCAAGACGCCAATTGACTAGAAATGATCTTTGTCAGTTGAGCTTGTGTTTCACATGTACAATTCGAGAAATACTGTGTATGATGACAAACGTACAAAACTGTTAAGTTAGGGATCGTTGGTATAGGCTTTATCGTACAATCGTCATTAAAGGGTGGTATCAACATAGTGAAAGACATTTATTGGAAGTGATGTGATGTTTGTGGCATGCTATCATCTACGTAGAATATACTACCATCTGCGTAGAAAATACTATCATCTACGTAGAAGATACTCTCATCTACGTAGAAGATACTATCATCTACGTAGAAGATACTATCAACTACGTAGAAGATACTTTCATCTACGTATATGATAGTATCTTCTACGTAGATGATAGTGTGCCATCGAGATACTATCGTCCACTTACATACTTTCATCTACGTACATGATACTGCCATCTAGAGTATGTACAAGTGCAGTCATATATGTGATACCAATGACATAGAGCTCACATTTACTGTCATTACATACACACCTACATGCGCGCACACACATACATACATACATACATACATACATACATACATACATACATACATACATACATACATACATACATACATACATACATACATACACACACACACACACACATACATACATACATGCATAAACACATACACAAACACACACATACATACATACCTATGTGTGTATATGTTTGTATGTATGTTTGTATGTATGTATGTGTGTGTGTATACTGATGAGGGCATAGTATCGGAGATAAATATAATTTGGTTTCTTCGTTAGTCACTATTCTTTTCATTGGAATGTTAAGATGGTATGCTATAACTTCAATATTGTATTACAGTGCTTGATGTTAGCTGGAATTATTTTAATCCTCTTAAACCCCCAGAGAAGATTATCCTCTGAGGTAATTTTTGTCCGTATATATGTCACAAATTAGTGATAACTTATGAAAAACCTAATTATCTGTTTCGAAAATTATGTACCGCATTAAACGTGAGATACCAAATTTGGTATCAAGGTTGCTTGGCGCAATCAATCAACGATTGTCGAGTTTAATGATCTTAGAGTACTCTTCGTATAAGGTCAAAGAGAATATTTACGTTAGTGACAAAACCCTTTTCTTTATAGATTTTCCATCCTTTCAATTTTGATCAAAACAAATATATTTCAGCAATAATTGATTGCAACAAATTTTATTATACATTCTGATGCTCTTTGAAACTCAACAAGACATGCCCGAAGATACCGGATATTATTTTCGTATGCTTTGAATTATGATTTCGTGCTGTTATCATGATGGATTCTGTTTTTGTTGTTGGGGCAAGGAGTTATTATCCCAGCAAAAGTTGTCAGTAAGTTGTTGTTAGTTCTTCATGACATATGAAAGGAATCCAGACAGTTACAT